GAAGAATGATAACAAGTGGACTGACCAAGAATGGAAGAAAGCTCAACTTAATACCAAGCACATGCTATTTTGTGCATTTCGTCTAGATATATGAAGAGTTTCTTCTTGTTTAAGTGCCAAGGAGCTTTGGAATAAGCTCGAAAAGCTTCATGGAAACAAGAAAGAACCAACAAATGTGGTGTCTCTAATGGCTCGTGAAGAGCCCAAGGTATCTTTTAGCTCAAATGAATTAAATTCATATTCTTTTGATGAGTTACAATCTGCCTACGATGAATTATTTTCGGAGTTTGAGACCATGAACTCCAAATATAGGAAAATGATTTCAAAATTTAAAATTGAAAACAATTTTCTTTTGAAAGCAAAAATAGATTTTGAAAATCAAAATGAAATATTGAAAAAGGATTTAGAACTTTCAAAAATGAAAATTGAAAGTTTTGAAAAAAAATTTTGATTTAAAAGTTAAGCTTGGATGCTTAACAAAGGAAAAAGAAATCATTTTAAATAATTCTAGTTTAATAATGGCAAAATGCTCACATTACCATTATCATGGTCACAAGGAACATGCTTGTCATTTAAAGAAAGAAAAACATTTTAAAATTAGACAAGTATGGATTCCTAAGGGAACAAGGGGCATTGAAACTAACGTCCAAGGATCCAAAGCAATTTGGATACCAAAATCGAAATAAATGGCTCTTATAGGTGTGGGAGTAATGGTGATGAAAGTGAAGATATTCAAATGCTCTAGCCACACTTGAAAAAGGAATGTGTAACCTCTAAACTTAAAGCTTTTGTTTTTGATTAATTAGTTGCTCATTTAGGTTTATACATGCATGAGTTTTGAACTTAAATGATTTTGTGTTAAATTTCTAGCTCATGCATGTTAAAAGGAAGTTATGATGAACATTTTAAAATTGTAATGATTTTTCATAATTTTTTTTCATCATAATGAATTTTGGTCAAAATTGATTTTAAATGCAAATGATATCTCTCTAACAATTGATATCAACTTTTCAAATACTTTAATTTTTCATATTTTAAATGTTTGACCTAATTTAAATGATTATACATGTGTTTTAAATGCAAAAGATATCTCTCTAAAAATTGATATCAAAATTTTCAAATGCATAATATTTTTTAGAAAACTTTATGCATATGCACTTAATTTCAACAATTGATATTGAATAAAGTATTTTAGACTTGGATATATTGAATTTCATGTGTTTAACATGTTTGTTATTCTTTGTTGAAATTCAATTTTGTTTAAGTGTCAAGTTTTTAAAGCTAATTTTTTTATGGAATGCACTTTTTTGAAGGGGAGCTTTGATTTTTTTTAAATGATTTTTAAATGTCAAATTTATCACTTTCTCTCCAATGTTATTTTTCAACTTTAAAGATTGAATTATTTTTTTATATAACAAAAATGGGGATAAATATGGTTTGAAAAATTCAATAATTCAATTTCTTAATGAAAAAGGGGGAGATGAACATTTTCATATATTTTCCAACAATTGGTATTTTTTTCATTAAACATTATATTAAGTGAGAGTTTTACCAAAAACAATTTTTCAAATGTTTTGTTATATCAAAAAGGGGGAGATTGTTAAACTATATTTTGATATAACAATTTATGGCAAAATGTTTTTGGACTTGAATTGAATTTATTCAAAGTTTTCAAAAATAATTCAAAGTCCATTTAAGTTGAAATTAAGCACAAAAATGTTTTATGAATAGTACTGTATTGTATAAATAGTACTGATACTGTATGTATAGTACCGATATTGTGTGAACAGTATCGTTGCTAAAAAATTCTAGAATACAAAATATAAATCGATACTGCTAGAGGGGTACCGATACTGCTACAGTAATTTCAAGCCCAACGGTCATAAAATTCAAATATTACAAAGGGGTACCGATACTACTTGTTCTGAGCAGTTTTATTTTGCAGAAAATGAATCCTCAACGGCTCCAAAATATCCCCAACGGCTCTAAAACATCACCAACAACTATATATGACTTCAAACTCATTCCAACTTATAAATACATGTTCAAGACACTTAAAGAACATAGAGAACACCTATCCAAGTATTCAAACACAAGATAAGAGTTTTTCAATCTTATTTTTCTATTCTCTTGTAAATATTGTGTTCTTATGAGCTTAAATTTTGTAAACACCCTACCTTTGAGAGGTTTTCTTGTTTACTTCTTTTATCCTTTTTAAAATGAAATGTTCTAGCTGAGCCCTTGAAAAGCTAAGGATAAGGTTCTAGTTTAGTCCATGAAAAACTAGGGAGTTGTAAAGGTTATCTCTTTGTCCTGTAAAAAGAAAGAACAAATTAGTGAATTTGTTGGAAAATCCTTGGTGAGGAGCTAAGGTAGTGGATGTAGACTTGGTTGAGAAGTCGAACCACTATAAATCGCTATGCAAATTTTCTATCTTTCAATCTCCTTACTCCCTAAACACAAGAACCGTTCTGATCCCTCTTGGTGAACTCTTTCGGTTGTCGATTCGAGCTTCCGCAAATCCCAACACAGAGTATCGATACTAATTAGCTTGAAATGTTAAATTAAGTGTTTTATTTCGTTTAAGTAAAAATTATTGGGTAGGTATAATTGAGCTCTGACATTCATGGGAACACAAGTGTTAAATGAAGGGAAATGCAGAGTTAGTAAGCTAAAGTGAAAGAGGTGTTGTTTAGGGTTTAATTTAGGCAAAGGTGGATGCTATTTACTTATTTTATTTATGAATGGAGGATGGCTTACGAGAAGGCAACATTAATTGTTTCTGAACAAAATAAAATGCTATGAGTGTGTGTATATATATATGTGTGTGACGTTTTTATGTGAATATGGTTTATATAAGTAAATGGATAAGTTGTGTAGGGATATGTAAAAGGAGAAATTTATGTGCATCACTATGAAAGTATGTGATATGTGATTAAATGAAAAATAAATAATAATAATAATATTTGATAATGCTATGTGATAATGTGCTATGTGAATCTGTGCTAAGTGAATATGTTATATGGAACATAAGTGATAAGTGAGAAAGGTTATAAGGAAGTTATGAATGAATTCTCTATGTGAATGTACTCTACATAAATACGACATACTTCAAACAGTGAAACGAAACATAATTATACAGCTAAAGCCCAAAGTATATTTTATGAGAATTAAGGGTATAGTTGGCATGCCAAGAGTTGAGGGTTCTATTTGGTCATTCGAGACAATCCTATGTGGTTTTTTAGGATAAAATTATGTAGTCCTTCGGGACAAACTTATGTGGTAATTCGGGACAATTATATGGCACTTCAGTGCAAATTACGATTTGTGGTGACAACATTAGTACACAACCTCAATGTATTCACATACCTTGAGTTCTTAGAAGTATACGTTGGGCTAACTAAACAAATGAATATAAATTAAACAAATTGATATTGAATGAAAAGTGCATAAGTTATATGTAGTTCATATGAAATATATAAGTAAAAGTAATATGAGTATAAAGTTATCAATGTTAATAAGATATGTTATAAATTATAGAACCTATAGTGTTTTGTACCTAATATTTATTTTGTAAAATTTTCATTATTGTTTTATCGTTTATATTGTTCATAATGCCTCACTAAGTCATAGACTTAGCGTGTGAGTGTTTTCGCACGTAGGTTCAAAGTATGCGAGGAGTAAGCTAAGTAAGCAAGGGATAGGACAACATATTGCGGAAGATTATCATATGATAAAATTTTTGGAATTTTATGTGATTGTGTTCTGGGAACGTTGTTGGCATGTACTATAAATATAAAGTCTAGATACTCTGATATGTATTTTAACTATGATTTATTAAGTTTTATTTTCATTGTCAAGTTTAAACCTTTTTTAAAGGGTCAAAGTATTTTAAAAGTCAATGTGACACCTTAGATTCGTATCTGGGTTGAATATGGGTTGGGGTGTTACAGTTCTCTGCGTTATTTTTGTATCTTAAGAGTCAAGGCATCCTTTATCGGCTCTCGTGTCCGTATACTTCAGAAAAAAATGGCCTTGTGGAGAGAAAGCACAAGCAGGTGGTTGAGGTTGGGCTAACTATGTTGGCACAAGCTTCAATGTCCCTTTCGTTTTGGAATGATGCTTTTAGTAATGCAATTTTTCTCATTAACAGGTTGCCTACTTTAGCCCTAGGAGGTAAGTGCCCTTATACTAAACTGTTTGCAAAGTTTCTTGATTTTAACTTGCTAAGAGTGTTTGGATGCTTATGTTTTCCATTTCTTAGGCCTTTTCAATAGCATAAGTTTCATTTTAGGTCCTCTCTATGTTTTCTTTTAGGTTTTTCTCCCAAATAAAAGGGTATAAATGTTTGGATTCCTCTAGTAAATTTTTATTTCAAGGTATGTGCAATTTGATGAGTTGGTTTTCCTTGTGAATCTGCATTTACATAAGCTTTTGGAACAAAATACAATCTTCTTTGAGGTTTCAACTTCCACTTGCATATGTATCTAAAGCTGATAGTTCTACTAAATCTAAATCTGTTGTATTTCCTACTATATCAAATCTTTCTAATATCATACAGGGTTTACCTTTTTTGTACATGGTCATTATTCTTCTTCTTTACATATTTCTACTTCTATACCAATTGTTTTTCTGTACAACATCACGATTCATCTTTATCACTGCATTTATCCTCATTTCTTCCAGCATCCATTTCTACATCAACATCTATTTCATCCTCACGACTTCCACCATTATCTCTATCAGCACCCTCTTCCGTTCCATCTCTATTTCAATCTATTTCACCCTTATGAATTCCATCATAATCTCTACTAGCACCCATATCCGTTTTATCTCCACTTCAATTTATTTCACCCTTACACCTTTTGTCATCATATCTACCAACACCCACATCTGTTTCATCTCCACTTCAATCTATTTCACCCTCACGACTTTCACCACCATCTCTACCAGCATCCACCTTCATTTCATCTTCTCGTTTGGTTACTAATACTCATCCAATGGTTACTAAAAGTAAAGTTGGTACTTTCAAGTCTAAAGTGTTTAGCACTGTGGTAAAAGACGATGAATCTGTGGATGTCTTTGAGGCTTTGCAGTATCCTTCTTGGAAGGTTTTGTACACGAGGAGTATGATGTTCTCATTCGAAATGCTACTTGGTCTCTACAGCCTCTTCCTATTGATTGCAAGCTATTAAGGTGTAAGTGGTTATTTAAGATCAAAATGAAGCATGATGGGATGATTGATAGACTGAAAGCTCGCTTAGTTGCTAAGGGATATTCTCAAAAGGGTGGGATTGATTTTAAAGAGACTTTCAGTCCAGTGGTTTGCGCTGCACAATTCGTACAGTTCTTGCTGTTAATGTTTTAAATAAATGGGTCATTCATCAAATTGATATAAATAATACTTTTTTTTTAAATGGATATCTATTTGAGGAGATTTTCATGTGATGAGTGCTTAATTTAGTTATTATTTTACTGTTAATTACTCATTTATTTGTCGGTTTATGTTGCTAAGTTGGGCCTTTTTTGTTATTTTCTGTACAGAATATTGGATTCCAGAAACTATGCTAAAAAGGACGAATTCTGCAAGTTTTTATTTTTCTGTAATCAAGACTGAACCAGTGGCATGACTTCGCTGACGTGGCAATAAGTCATCATCTTCTAGAAGATTGTCAATATTTTCGTGCAAGCAGAAGACTCAACTACAAATCTAGATGCGAATTTAGGATTTATCTTTATTTTTGGGATTCATTTCAAACAATTATGGGAATTATCTTTTGCAATTTATTAGGAATTATCATTTGTAATTTGTTGAGTTAATCGATCGATGGAATTGGCCAAGAGGGGGTGAATTGGCAATTAAAATTTTGGTGGAAGCTTTTGCAGAAAATTGAAAAGATTTGCACATCGATTTAGAGTGGTTCAACTTTCTCAACAAAAGTCTACGTCCACTACCTTAGCTATCCAACTAAGGATTTTCCAACAAATTCACTAATTTGTTCTTTCTTTTGAGGCCAAAGAGATAACCTTACAACATCCTCAAGAGTATACCCCAATTCTTGAGAACGCTCTTTCTCAAAGAGAAGATTACAAATTTGCAAACTTACAAGGAAATCCTCACAAGGTAGATTGTTTGCACAAATCTAGAACAGAGAAAAGAACACTAAAAAATGAATACAATTGAGTACAAGTAGTGTTCTTGAAAGCAAAACAAATAGGCTTGAAATGCTCAAACTTGAGGTTTATGCTTCTCTTTGATTCTCTCTTGATTCTTGTTTCTTGTTTTCTTGTTTTGATCAATGGCTTCTAAGCTTGTTTAAATACACCTTCAAATGATTCTGAACGTTGGGGATGATTAGTGGAGTCAATAGAGCTGTTTTAGTGTGAAAATAATTAATAAAATCAGTTGGGAGCGTCAGTGCATCGATGCATACCCGGTGCATCGGTGCATCAAGTGTCATCGATGCATGAAATGCATTCGATGTTTCATAATAGCCAGAGTGCATCGATGCATGGCTGTTGCATCGATTCATCAAATTATTTCGATGTTTTCATAAAACTCTGAGTGCATCGATGCATAATATGTGCATCGATGCATGAAATGCATTCGATGTTCAATTTATTTCATGCTGCATCGGTGCATCACTTTGAAAAAAATGATTTTAGGCTTGATTTTGGTTCAAAATACTTTGTGAAAATTGTTTCAAAAATATATTAAGTATAAAACACAATTTTACACATTTAGTAAGGTTTGAAATTGATCTTGAAGACTTGGAGTAATAATTTGATATTCGAGTAATTAAATCGAATATACTTTAGAAAATCATTTGTAAAATCTTAAAATTCATTTATACTTAATTTGTTATATCGAAACATCAAAATGTTTTCAACAAGCTCCCCCTTTTTGATATAACAAAACATGTGTGTAAATTTTAATATTTTTTTTTGAAAATAAATTTAAAAAAAATAAGTTTGAAATTACTCCCCTTTACTTTAACACTTCTCCCCTTTAAAACATTTTAACACTTTAACATTTCTCCCCCTTTTTGTTAAATCAAAAAGACTTAAAAATCGATTTAAACAAGGTTTTGAAAAACATAGCCAATTGATATATATATATATATATATATATATAGCTTAAGCTACTAAGATCAAAGATAAAAAGAGAGATTAGCCATTAGTTTCATAATCAATATTCATAGTCAAATGTGAAATGACATAATTGGTCATAATGAACTAATATGATGCAAAAATTAAGAAACATTAAGCTCAAAATAATAAAGTTAAAATCAAACTAAATATATATAAATATTAAGTTCAAAAATCCATAAAACAACAAATAAGTTCAAAACATCCAACAACCATCAAATTTAAACATCCAGAAACATCAAAATCAATCCAAGTTTGAAAATCCAAGAAAACATAACAAGGAAACAAATTCACTCCATCGGAGGATCGGGAGGAGGAGGATAATGAGCTCGAACTTCAAGAGTGAGAGCGTCCATACGTTCACGCATCTCCCGCTGAAACTCAGTAATATGAGACTCCATGGAGGCAAACCTCATATCAAACGACTCCAAGAAAGATCGAAAATAGGGTGGCGTTTGATCTTCTTGTCGTGCTGGTTCTGGTGCAGGCTCATCGTCTGGTATATTATCGTCAATATCTTGCATAAGTTGTTGAAACTCGGGATCATCGTCAGCAGCCGGTGCCAGAGGAGGAGGAGCACGAGAAGACTAGGAGTAGCTCGTGAAGAACTAGCTCCCGGTGTTTGCTTACCGGGTCGAAAAACCCAAAGACCAGTTTCCTCATCTTGTTTCCAATCCGATTTCTTCAATGAGGTGAGATTGATTTGATTTTGGAGAGGGATAGGATTGTCGAGAGAGACGTTTAGACCGATTTTGATAAAAAATATTACTAAGAAGGCATCCATAAATCAATGTTTCGACATGTTTTGAAGGAACAATTTTTATGATGTCAACTAGTTGACTAAATATAATGTGGGTGAGATTTATTTTGATCTTATTCTTAATACAGTGCATCCACCATAAATCCCTAGTACGAAGAGTGGAGTACCTACCTTCGGATGGTCTAAACCACCAAGAGATCATCAAATGAAGAAAACGACCGTGATGAGATCGTAGAGTACTAACACTAGAGTTTGGAACATAGGGATATTCCAAATTTTCATTTTCATTATATAACCCATCATCATCTAACCCAAAATGGAAAGCTATAGTCTCACGGTCAATATTAATATATTGGCCTAAAAGATAGGATCTAATGGCTATAGTCCCACATTGAGTTTGGTTTTGAATGCATACCGCATTGGAGTAGAAGATGCAGACTAACTGTTGATAGACGATAGGTTTGAGGTGAAACAATTTATCAAATTTCCAAGTTTTAAGAATCGAAAGGTATTCGAAGTCAATATCAATCATGGCTTGAAGAGAATGAATACGCTCGTCCCGGATTCTATAGGATTGGAAAGAATTTATGTACCTAGGGTACAATTCGTCTCTACGACGTTCAGACATATTAAAACAGGATCCTATTAGACTATTAGGTGGAGGAGGAATGGGATTTAGAGGTTGGTTTGAACGAGAACGACTCGATGACGTTCTAGGGCGTTTGGGATTATACATGTTTTAAGAATCGGAAAAAATGAATATAACCAGCAAATTGAAACACATGTATGCAATTTAATCAATCTCAAAACTCAATTGAGTCCTCAATAATTCAAGGTTCTCTAAATCAAATCCTAATGGGCAAGGTTTTGAAAACTATTTGAAAATAATTTTTGAAAAATCATATTATGTATATGAAAACAACATAATTAAATAAAAAATATCAAATTTAAAAATGAAATTCAGATTTTTGAATATTTATTTTATTTCGAAAATTCAAAAATTTATTGAAAATTTGTGAGTTTTTGATGAAATTAGTTGTAAAATCTAGTTTGTAATCATCAAACAATCAATGCCCGATATAATGTTCATCTTAGAACTAATTAAAACTAGTCCTAAGAACAAGATTCAATAAAATAGGGGGTTTTAGAAAAATACCTTGAAAATTTCAGATTTTGTGAGAATGAGAAGTTGTGTTGCACGATTTGATAATAAGATCAGGATAAGGAGTTGAAAAGCTCGAAGATTCCGATAAAAAAAACCAAGGATTTGAAGCAATTTTGATAGTAAGGAGAGAGAGAGAGGAGTGGCGGCCAAGAGAGAGTTTTAAGAGTGTTTTGAGAAAATGAGGAAGAAATAGGTTTTTATCCAAAAACTCGATGGATGCATCGATGCATGGCCTTGTGCATTGATGCACATTCAAGGCGTGCATCGGTGCACCTTCATGGTGTATCGATGCACATTCAAAGGGATGCATCGATGCACTGTTAAGTGCATAGATGCATGAAGCAAAAAAATGACAAAAATCCATTTTAAACACTCAAAAATGCTAAATTAATTAGCTCTAGTGGTATTGGCAACTCATATATTGAAAATTAATCATGTTCAATCAATCAAATTAATCCTTAAACAACATTTGAACATAAAATTAATTTTCACCAAAGAACATAAACTCCCCCTAACTAATAGCAATAAATGCAATAAAAAATTACTATTATAAGCATTTTTCATTTATTCTTACAATTGTTAAAATTATTTTAAACACTAAGTGATGATAAGTCAGTTAAACCTAATTTTCTCCTAAGTGTCCAAATTTTTTCTTTATCTAAAGGTTTTGTAAAGATATCCGCTAATTGGTGCAAAGTATCAACAAATTCTAGAACTACATATTCCCTAGCGACATGGTCTCTAATGAAGTGATGTCTAATTTCAATATGCTTAGTTCTAGAGTGTTGGATGGGATTTTTAGTGAGACAAATAGCACTAGTATTGTCATACATGATAGGAATGGTACCTACTTCAATTCCATAATAAAAAAATTATTGTTTCATCCATAAAACTTGTGCACAACAACTACCAGCTGAAATGTATTCCGCTTCAATGGTAGATAATGCAACACAATTTTGTTTCTTTAAAAACCAAGAAATCAGCATATTTCCAAGGAATTGGCAAGTACGGGAGGTGATTTTCCTATCTAATTTGCATCCTCCATAATCCGCATCATAGAAGGCATGCAAGCTAAAGCTAGAGTCTCTAGGATACCAAAGTCCTAAACTAGGAGTGCCCTTAAGGTATCTAAAGATCCTCTTAACAGCTAGTAAATTTGATTCCTTAAGGCATGATTGAAATCTAGCACATAAGCAAACACTAAACATAATGTCATGTCTACTTACAGTTAGATAAATCAAAGAACCAATCATTGACCTATATAATTTAACATCCACACATTTACATCTTTCAT